CCTCTTATTTTTTTTTTTTTATATAATACATACATAACAAAAATGTACATTTATACCAAAAAGAAAGATTTAAACATAATACATGATCCAAAAAAAAATATTTTATAACAACAACATGTATTATGATATATTATATTTTGAAATTATATAATACCAGTTTTGATGTATTTCTTAAAAAGTTAATTCATTTTATCGCTTATTTTTAGCTGATTATCGTCAATTACTTTTATATGATTGTCTCTTGTTGTTATTATCAAATTGTTAGAGTCATTTAATTAGAGATTAATTTTTTTAACAAAAATTATTTCTCAAATTGAATACTTTTTTTTGTTGCTTTTCGTACAATACATACAAAAATTTATGTTATTTATTATAATAAATAGATTTTAATATCTATTATACAATCATACATACATATATTTAATACAATTAAAAGGAAAATATATTCGTTGAAAGTTTTCATCAAATATCACATCATTATTATTGAATCCGAAAACAAAATAACTCAGCGCTATATACTATACAGTGTAATTATTACATTTCTATAGTTGCAAGTTCATCGGTTACACACTTACTATATATAGTCTAACCTTTAATATTGTTGCTATATTTGCTGTATTTCTTATCATAAATAACGCGTCTAACTTATGAGTGAATTGAAAAAAGAGTGTGTCTTTTTTCATTATATTAAGATAGTATCATCTCAATACGCAACTTGCTACGTGTAAAATGATCATTGTATGTATATGATATTGATCGACTTTTTTATTCTTCAGACACTATTTAATGCTTAAATGTAAAAGTTCCCCTTGCAAAATCGATTCGCCAAATAATCGGTGTGTTGTATATTTCCCACGAGAACTCATCGGAGGACAGTTATTACTAACTATATAAAACATGATAACGCTTTGCTTTAAAAGGTTTTACTTTTAAAAGTAGAAATATTGAATATTATTTCAAAACTTATATTACGTGTAATATATAAAGTGTTTTTATCATAATGCAGAATATATTTTATTTGATACTTTTGATTATTATAATTCTTTAATATTTGCAATAAATTTATTATTAATTAATGTATTTTCGATTTGAAAATTTAATTAATAATAAATTACAAAAATCAATTTATATTGTGATATTAATTATATTCGTTATTAAGATCAATCTTTTAAAAATCCTCACATTTTAAATACGGAAAATTTTCTTTTATCGATGAAATTTTATTTTAGCTGTATTTCAAAATCCAATAAATAATAAATATATCCTTTGTATTTCGAATATTCTAAAAATATAAATTATATATATTTTGTCTGCAATATGAACACTTAACAAACGACATGTAGTCACATGTGCATTTTCCCACCTAAGGAAAGTCGACGACATAGGGAAACTCGACAACGTATATACGAATAAAAGGGGTGAATCACCCCATCATACTTCTTCTTGCGGATTTCTATTTTTTTACTCGAGTAATAAAATCAAATCAATGCAAATTGAATATGCCATTCATCGGACTAATCTTACGTTAAAATAAAAATTTATAATTTTTTTCTTTTTTTTATTTTGTTATCTTTCTTATTGTCTTTTTTATATATTATTATGCTATTTGAAATATTATTGTTTATTATTTATCTTTTTTTTTTAATATTTAGATTATCAAATATAATATAATATTGTAATAATTATATTGTATTTATTATATAGTTATACTATATTTTTAATTTTTATTTTTAAAAATTTTAGAAATAAAATTAAATCAGTTTATATAAAATTTTCTTCTTTTACATCAATTAAAATTTTATTCGATCATTTTGATAAAATTAATTATATTTTAATAAAAAGAAGAAAAGTTATTCTTTGTGTAATAAAATTGAATTATGTTGTCATATTACTATTGATCAAACAAACGACGCAATCGTCAGTTTACCATTTGTAAACAATGAAGAAACTTGTTTCATATCAATCCTTGGAATCAATTCTTTCTGGTTAATCTATTTCTACTTTTATTTAATCAACAATAGCATAAATATCTTTAGTTATGAATCATTGAAACAAACCGCAAAAATATTTCAAATTGATACTTTGCAATAATTATTTGTTCAAAGAAGAAACGCAAAGAAGATTTACATATTAAATCACAAGAATAAATCAATTTTTGGTTAAGAAATTATCTTTAATAGTATTTATTACGTAAGAATAATCTTTTTCTAACTTTTTTAAATGACGAGTGCAAAAGATGTCATTTTAACGAAATAAAAAAGAAATTTTAAAAATTTAAAATGGTACAAAGAGTGGGAAATAATGCGTCAAAAACAGCTTATACACAATCGTTTGGAAATCCAAAAAATCGAAATAAATCGAAATTTAACGTTCAAGTTTGTTCAAATCGAAGTCCTTGTGCGAAAACTGCAGAATGCAGAGATTCAGTAGAAGAGAAGGTAAATTTTTTTTTGTTTTGAATTTAATCAACATATGTTATCTATGTTTTTGTTATTTTCTTTTTTTATAATTGAATTATAAATTAAATTTATTACTAAATTTAAATACTGTGCTATATAATATTAAATAAATTAAGTAAAATTAAATTAAAATGTCATAAAATATATATAAATTGTTATATTTGAATAGTAATAATATTTATGGGTATTTTAATAATTAGTAATAATTTACAATTAATATTTTGATTGTATATATTGTAATAATAATAATAATAAACTATTATTATTTAGTTTGGTAAAGAAAAAACTAAAGTTAAAATGAAAATACAAGTTCATGCTATGAAGAAAAAAAGACCAGCACCTGTAAAAACTTTGACACAAAAAGAATATGACGAATATCAAAAATACAGTCGTTTGACAAAGGAAGAACAAGAAGCAGCTCTTAAAGCAGAGAAAGAAGAAAGGGAAAGACTTATAAAAGAGAGTATGGAGAGAAAAGAAGAATTTCGTAAACTAGATCAAGAAAGGCCTCGAGAAAAATGCCCGCAATTGATCGAAATTGAGGAAGAAGCCAGAAGAAGAGCGAAATATGTCCTTGAAAGAGCAGAGAATATGAGACTTGAACAGGAGGAAGAAATTCAAAAATGCAATAGAATCATTTTAGAAACTAAATGTCGAGCCATTCGAGATGCTCAGGTAAAACTTATAATTTTATTTAAAGAATTGATAAAAAAGTGCAATAATTTTTTAATTATTTAATCATTAAAATATATTATAGAGAGATAAAAAATATATTATAATAAATTCTGATAAATTAAAAAAAATATTTATTAAATTATCGAAACAATTTATGCTCGTATAACAAATAGATTTATTTGTATAAATTTGTATAAATTTTTGCATAATATTTATTAAGTATATAATTTTTCAGATAGAAGAAAAGAAGCTAATTAAACATGAGATGGAAGAAGAAGAAAAAACGCTTGAATGATATGATGGAAAACGAAAGAAGATGGGCGATCAAAGAAGAAATTAGAAAAGAGCAAGAAGAAGCAATAAAACGACAAAAATTTGCTAGTAGTTTAATGGATCAAATAAAAGAAAATGAAGAAAATAGGATATTAGAATTTGAAAAGAAGCAAGAAGAAAGTCGATTAATTAATTTAAGCAATATTAATTGGCAACAAGAAGAAATTTCAAAACTACGAAATAAAGAAATTGAAAACGCGCTAATTCGACAACAACTTGCTGAAGGAAATGAGCAATTGAAACACTTGAAAGCTATGGAAGAACAAGAAAATAAAATCATTGATCTTAGGTATAATATATTAAATTGTTAAGCTTTTAATTAACTGTTAATAATATTACTTTATAGTATAATATACATATAGTATAATTATACATTATTTTACAGGATAAAAGAATATCAACGCTATAAAGATGAAAGAGAAGCAAAACTGAAGGAAGAACGAAGATTGGAAAAATTAAAAAAAGAAAAAACCAAAGAAACTCTTGCAACACAAAAGTTGCAAGAAAAAGATATTCAAGTATAATTATTTAATTTTTAAATATGATTATTAATTTTTTTTAATTATCTTTCTATCTTTAATTTTACAACTTATGTTATACTTCTTACTCCTATTTTGATATTAAAATTTAAGACAATTTTTTTTAAATTATCAAACATATATAATAGAATTATTGTTTCTATTTGAATAAAATTTTACTATGTTTAATATTTTATTTTTTATTTTTTAATATGAGTATATATATATATATATATAATTTATTTAAAATATTTTTATTATATTTTAAATATTACTTATATATTCATATTATAAATTTTAAATTAAATATTACATAAAAATATTATTATATTTTAATAAATAAAAAATTCTATGTATAATTCTATTTAAACTTTAATAATGATTTTTTTTTTTATAGGAACGACTCGATGAGTTGACTGCTGCAAGAATTCAAGAAGAAGTAGAGAGACGATGGAGACAAAAAGAAAAAGAAGAAGCTTTAAAAAAAGCAGAAGCACAAAAATTGCTTATCAAAGAAAGAGAGAAACAAATAAATAATAAACGAACAATGGAAGCAATTGAACTTGAAAGGGAACGACGTGAATTTGAAAAAATTGTACGCGTTCAGAGAGAAGCTTTCTGTCGAGAACAAAAAGAACTTGAAAAGAAACAGAGACAAGCATTAATTCATAGAAGCGAAATACTAAAACAGGTTTGTTATAGTTAATTTATATTTTTATATCTTTTATAATAAAACAAATAAATTTGTTCACGCATGTTAGAATTAAAATAAATTATATTATATTATATATTATATTTTATTATTATTATTATTAGGTAAATAATAAAGAAAGAGAACGTATCGAGGCAAGACAAAGAATGTTTGAAGAAGGTTTAGCAATTCGTACAGAAGCTGAGATGCGTAAGAAAAAATTGCGCGAAACAATGGATAAAAAATGTGATGAAATGAGAAAGAACAAAGTGCCTGAAATATATATCAGTGAAGTGAAACGACTGATCAGTAATATACACTAAGTTTGCAACTATAACTTATTTATTTATCATTTATTATAAATTATATATAATATATCCTGCGTGTTACCATATTTCTGCTTATATGAATGAATTTTATTACATTTATCAAGATTACAAAAATCAAATTTCACGAAATATTTTTCTTAAATATTACTTCCATAACATAATAACATTTGGATCGCGTTCGACAATATCTTCAAGTTGCGCAGCTGATTGACCTGTACTGCAACAAATTTCATCAAGACTATATGTTCCTGTAAAATATTTATAAACTGGATTGTTCTTCGTTTCTTCATTACAAGGAGAGCCTGATAAATATATTGGATACTATAAATTAAAAAAATTGTATGTAGTAATTAAAGATAAACAATTCTTGAAATTGGCATAAAGATTTCAAAGAAATAAGAATAGTTTTAACCAACCTTATATACTCTACGAATAAAACCTTCAATAAGACCAAATTGTACTAATCGCCTTTCATTAATTCTTAAATTCTGAGGATTAAGACGTTGACATAAATCTCTCATACTGCTACCATGTGTCATACTTGCATACATTCGATATATATCTCTAAGATATGCAGGTTGCCTAGCTAAAAATTATTTTTTGTAGAATATTTTTTTTTTATTATTATAAACTTATTATAGAACTTACGAAATTTTGAAGTATAAGTTATACATCGTTCTTGTAACTTCGTATTTTCGGCTAATTCTCTTAATTTTGGAGTAGCAGCATAAACATTGCTATATTGAAATATTGGAATCAAAGTTACAACACCATAATAACTAAAAATTGAAATAATATTAATATTAAAAATATATCACATTTTTAAAAAATAAAATTTTATATTTACATAAGATTCTGTACACAGCTTTTAACCAGATTGTTTTCTACATCTGCTTCAGCTGCTATTCGTGCAACATGATTAAATCCATCTATATATGGCAATACTTGCTGTGTGGTTAAATCCCACTGATCAGTTTGAAATGTTTCTCGGCCTTCCAAAAATATTGGTACCTGATGATCAAGAACTGGTTTCGGTTCAGGTGCTAATTTTATAACTTTCAAATGAGATGTCATTGTTCCCTCTATTAAAAGTAATTTATTCTATTATTTTACTCTAATATCTTTATTCAAAAATATTGTTTATAATATATTTTATTTAACTTACCTGTTAATGTACACATTTTATGTAAATTCAAATCGTGCATTACTTGTTGTAGCATTTCTGCTAACCTTGTTTTATCCTCTGAGGCAGATAAAAAACAATTTTCCTCTTCAAGAGCCATCTAAAAAATTGAGTTAACTTTAAAAAAATTAATAAAAATAATTATTATCTAGATGTAAAATCTTACTAGAAAATCAGACATTTTTTTTACAACAGGTTCATAATGCACAGTACGTGCTTCTGCATCACATACAAAGCACAAATTAAAATAAAATGCATTTCTTGCATATTTTTTATCATCAATTTTCACTGGAAATCCTAGTATTTTATAATCCTTTAATGTTCTGTAAAAATATAAATAACTTAATAACTTAAATCAAATAATTATGTATTTTTTGAATTAAACTTACACTGTAATAGTACTGCGTTGTAACTTTGCTTTTGGTATTATATAAACACTGACAGTATCAAATATATCCTTTGAAATAAAATTATCTGGAACCTAATTAAAAATATTATTATAATAATTTTAATTACAGTTAAAAAAACAATCTAAAATAAGTAAAAAAAAAAATACCCAAATAATATTTAAAATTATAGATTATATGTAGCATCTGTTAACCTGGCAAGTAATCATTGGACCCACAATATGATGAAATTCCGAAAAAAATATACATCTAATTGGATCTTCTTGTCCCTTGTCCTTTGTATTCTCTGTTACTGATGTCATTTTTATTTATCAAGTTTAACCTATTATAGTGAAACAAATAAAAAATTATTAACCTATTATAATGAAACAGATAAAGAAAATATGTTAATGTATATTTGTATTATTATCAATTAATAACCAATTTATTTTTTATTTTATAATTTTATAGAATTTGATATTTTTGAATATTTTCATGCTAAATGATAAAATTGAACAATGAATACTTCAATCCCAATATTTATGTCCATATTTAAAATTTTATTAAATTGAGAAATTTTCTAATATATCAAGTATCTTGAATTTATATAAATGAATAATAGATTATTAATTTATAATTTATTTATTAATTATTATATAAGAATAATAAATACATCAAAAAATCTCATTTTAAATAAAATCTATAACAAATTTTTATAGATTCATATTTATAGAACTAAATATTCTCTAAATTACAATTTTACAAAACCTCATTATTACATAATCTATCTAATGTCATATATATATATAATATCATATATATATATAATATATATATATATATATATATATA